GTGTATGGAATGCCTATCTTTGGGCGCGCGACTCGTCAACGTTGAAAGCCGGCGCCCGGCAGAGGGGGAGACACGCGATTCGTCAACATTAATCACGGGAATTCGCACGATTCAAGATTCACGATTGACTTGGACTGCCTCTTTGGGATGGCATATTGAGTACCTATAGCGGAACATACAATGATGAATGGTGAATACGAAACAACATTCAAAGAGTGCGAGTCTCGACTCAGGACTAGGCTTACAGTTGGCTGCAGGGATGTGCAAGCTTTCACACTTTCTTGACCAGCAGCTAGCTAATTGAATTCGCACATTTGGTGTTGCGAGTTGTAACCGAGAATCGGTTTTGAATGCACAGTCAAAGTTGTGAGTCAAAGCAATCACGAATGCGAATCCTTTGAATGCGGCTTCACATCGGGAAGGCCGTGCAACAGGTATTGGTTTGGCTTTGGATCTCGTTTGCCCATCCTCCATCGCCAGCACAACTTCGGATCAAGTCGCCTGCTTGGATGCACATGCACCTGCTGGGGCAACACACATGCATGCATGCTGGTGGCGATGATGTGAAGGGGAGTCAGCAGCCGCAACGGAGACCGCTCGCTTGGTCTTCTAAGACGAGTCGTGGGGGCGGTTTCGCACGGCCAAGCGGACCTGACGTTCATCGCTTCAACGGTGAGCGGCAACTTGCCACAGGCTGCGACACGGACGATACCTGGTGCAGTGCATGCTGAAAGATTAGAGGCCATCCATTCCGCGTGCCTCACCCATCAGGTATCCCAAAGCTGTTCGAAGCAAAGCTAGAAGATTGAAATGCCTCGCGCGAGGATCGCCCGCGGATAGCGCGTGACCCTTTCTTTGACTGGCTAACACGTGACCGTAATATCATGCGACTCCACCTAAGCACGCATACGTCCAGCGCGGGGTGACCTTCCTGCTGCTGCCCTGCCTCCCTTCTATCTGATCTTACACGATCGTCCTCACCCCACCGACACCACACTTTGCATCTCGACGAGGCTCTGCGATCGCTACAGCAGCTCCATGTGTCGCCAGTCTCATCGATCTTTGATTCCGTGTGCTCGTGGGCATGCATAGCTGGCCCACCCTCTGTGCTTGGACCTACTCCTTCAGTCAATATGACCAGCTTGCACACGTCCGCTCGATCAGCGCACCACGTCTGTCTCTGGTGCGCAATCAGTCCATCGGTAACGAGCATCGCATCATCCTCACAGTTGACCTTGGAGCGCAATCCGAGCAAGTCAAATGGTTTCATCCGAGCGCAGTCCAGTCTGACTCGCGTCTCGGCAAGGGTGCGACTGGCCGCGAGCCTTCCAGCTCGACCAGACCACAGCTTTGCAGCATCTCAAAGAGGCGCCCACACAGCTTCTGCATTGGAAGACGGTCTGTCCGAGGATGATGATACGACTGGAGATGCTGAGGAGAGGAGTGGCTTTGCTCGGAGATCGATGAAAAGACATGCCGGACATCCAAGACATGCTCACTCGCAAATCGCTGGCTCGGAAGACAGCAGCCTCAGTGAGCTTGCCTTTCCCACCTCTTCCAACTTCACTCCGTATGACGTCTTTCATCTCCCCAAGACTGCAAGCTCTTTGGACATCAAAGCGCGCTACTACGATCTGGTTCGCTTGTATCATCCAGACAAGCAAGCAGCGAATCATGTGGAGGGAGCGCCGTTGGCGGCAGAGATGGAAAGGCAACGTCGTCAAGAGTGGGAAGTGATGCAGCAAGCGTACGATCTGCTGAAGCATGATCATCGAAGGAGGAGATACGATGCGGCGGGAATCGGCTGGACGGCGGGAATCGGCAGCGCAGTGCGAGGCTCGACGTCTCCTTGGCACGGACCACCAAGCGCGAGAAAAGGCTGGGAATTTAGAGGCAGCGGCCACGACGGCTTCGGCTGGCAATCCTACGCCAAAGCGCAAGGCTCTTCTCACGACTTTTACGGCTCCAATCCCGCTCCGGATCCCAAGAGCGGACCGCGATATATGCCCAACGCCCACTTCTTTCTGGCCGTTGGAGGCCTGACGTGGTCGCTTGCGGCAGTGCAGTACGTGAGGCTGGCCAACGAATCCAAGGAGCGCAATGTCCAGCTGGAACAGAAGTCGGCATTGGCGGCGCAAAGCTTGGAAAGGGCCAGACAGCTGGCAAAGAGCAAAGAGGGAAAGAGTAGACTCGATAGCTTGCGAAAAAGGGCGCGCGAGCAGCAGCTGCTGGTGATGGACGAGGAGAATGTTTGCTCGAGCGAAAGCGCTGTGAGCGTCTTGCCCGCGCCGTCTCGCACGTACTAGGAAAGCACACACACCAGCATTGTGATTGTACTCAGCCCGTTGCACACCAGCACGCATTCAAGCAGCACTTCGAGGGACGGCATCCGCTTTCATCCTGCATTCTCTTTGTTCGATCTGCAGCATCCACTGCCATTCATGTACACTACAATCACTCACTAAATCCAGGCAGTGCGCAGACAAGGCTACCGCAGATGATGGAAGACAAGAGGCGTAAGCTGTGACGCTCCCAGACCTGCTTTGTAAGCCTTGGATGCCAGTCTCGCTCAGAATGATCAGCCTCGCCTTTTCACTTGCGACCTCAAGCGCACTCCCTTGGAGGTTCAAGATGACCCGCAGACGGGACGTAGCCGCATCTCGCAGGGAAACCATGGAAGTGCCTCGGACGGCCTATTGCCATTGCCATTTGATGCATCTTTTCATTCTGCTGATTGATCTCCAAATCTGACCGACCGCCTCACGCCTTTTGGGGTGCCAGCGACTCACCCTTTGCAAAGAGACCCCACGGGCCTGGCGACGATGCCTTTCCAAACCTGCCCCCAACATTTCACCGGCATTACGAGCTACGAAGGGAAATGATTGCAACAACATGTCGAGCGGAACAGGTCGAGCAGCGTATCATGGAGCGCACGCGTATGGGCGCTCTCTAGCCGCTCGGTTTTGGCCGCTAGCAATAAAAGGTTTGCTCTTTCCTTCCCTCTCTCTCTCTCTTTTTGGGGGTTTGATGATCGTAGCTTCCTTGAAGAAAGCCCATCTCATCTTGCCCTCATGAGCTACACACTTGATCCTGAAACGATCATGGGGAAGTTTGCGCGGGCTGCGTTGAGCTCTGGCTGGATCGCGAATCGTGAAGCTGGAGTGGGATGGATGTGGAAGGAAGATAGAAACCGCGCACGCGCGTGCTGTAAGATATTTTTTTTTTCGCCGCCGCCGCTGCTGCAGCCGCGCGCCATGCGTACGCGTACGCGTGCGCGTGCGCGTGTTGCGACGCGCACGCCTCATGCCTCCCGGCCAACGCACCAGCAAGCACGCTACGGCGTGGTACACGCCGACCTGCCAGCATGGAGCTTACGACTACCGTGAATCTGAATAGGATGTCGGCATTGACATTCATCCTCAGCGTTCAGGCCATTCCACCTCCTCCAGCCTAGGCCTCGGTCATCTGAACCATGAATTCACACTAGCACTCGTGCTGAGCGAGGCCACGCAGTGAAACCACCCCTGTGGTATGTACAGAGCATCGCCTGGCTCGAGGACGACGTGAGCAGCCTTCAAGGCGTGCTTGTGGATGGCTTGAGCTAGTGAGAGCGAATCGGTCTCGGTGCAATCTTTAGGAATTCCATTCAGAAGGGCCGCTTCGCTCGCCACCCTACTCGTGTTGGTCTGCGTGCCTGTGCGGTTCAGGTGGAGCAAGTCCGCAGCTTCCGGTGGGAAGAAGTGTATGCGCTTGTGTCCAACGACTGTCAATGGGGCAGCAAGGGGTGTGCGACGTCACGCTACGCAACCGATTTGAACTTTGCTCTGCTGAACGCACCTTGCACAAAGAGATTGTGGTATGGATCGCGATGTATGGGCGTAAAGGTGCCTTGGATAGAATGCGCTTCTCAGCATCCGTCCACGCGTACGCTTCCCAACGCGCCACCTCAGACACACACACCCACACACACTTCCACACACACACGTACTCACCCGCCCCTCCGACCCAAATGTTTCTGCCCCAATCTTCCCCGCCACCTTTGGCACCTTGTTTGACATGAGGCAAGGAAGGGCAATCGGCGTCTAGCTCTTGACCCTGCGAAGAGCAGACGCAGCGCGCTGTCAGGACTGTGAAGTATGCAAAGGACCAAAGTCTTAAGCTCAAACCCACAAGATCTGCCAGAGGTTGCTGAGCTACGTAACCCACAAGCCGCTCCGTAGTTGAAGACCAAGGCAGACTTTGACATATGAAGGACTCGATGAAGGTGCCTGCGCATAGGCATGAGCGTCAAAGTGAAAGAGTGAGCAATCGAGCTCGATGAGCTTCACTGCAGCAGCGAGTCAGGGGTGGGGTGTGCGCGAGCGCGCTCACCGAAGGGCATTCTGATCAGGTCCCAACCCTTTCCTTCATCGTTGTAGCCACGCCCAAACTTTGCCAACTCGACCTTGACGGTCGCTTCTCGAGCTGCGTCAGAGCGCAGCATACCCCTCAGCGTCTCTTCCAGCGAACCTCCATCCCGTTCGGACCACTGTACAGAAGCTGGCCAAGCGTAGGGTGACGCTGGTGAGACTAGCTTGGGGAAGTGACCTGGTCGATTCTGAGCAACAAAAGTTCGACCAAAGAATTCGGGCGTTGGGGGTGGGTACAGGCAAGGCTCTATGGGTGGCAGCTTTGAAGCAGCCAGCAGCAGCAAGCTTTGCTGCGGTGACGATGCTTGCTTTTTGCGACTGCAGGTTGACAATGCAAAAGCTTGGAGGTACGGGTGTTGACACCTGCTTAAAGACGGCCGCATGCCGCGTAGGTGCCCGACGACAGCATCTCTGCAAGGTCTCATGGCTGGCATTTGCATGGTCAGGCTTTTTCGAGAGCTGCTTTGTCTCTTACGCCATTCCGCGCTGGCAATTCTTGCATTCGCAAGCCAAGCGTCTCAGCGTGCTGCCACGTATATACGCGGTCGCCTATTCGTGTGTCTGATGCCGATTGAGAGAGCAAGCACGATCAAATCCCGTCGGGATTACGAATGCTGTCCTTGCTTGTGCCGTTTGACCAAAGAGGGAGGGTGGTCCATGCGCTGCGTATGCTTGTCTCGCGCTATTTGTGTGCAACGGTGACTACTACGACTGGTGAGCCAGCTGATGGCCTCCGCCTGGGCTGAAACAACGTTGTCTGAGAGTGTCGTAAAAGCAACATAAGCCAAAAGCCGTGAGAGCGCTGCATAGTGACCCCAACAGTAGCGTGACCGAGCACCCGCAGCTTATGGATTCACTCTTGAACCACGACTCACTGACTCACGACTGTGGATCAGACTAAGACTCGGCCCCCGCTTAAGTCCACATCAGCAACAAGTAGCGGCAGAAGAACGGCAGGTGGAGGCCAGAGTTCCGTCCAGCAGCGATTTTTCCAGTCGAGTTGTCGTCCAGAATTGCACGAGTCGTGATCGAGTGAGTTGTGCTGCCTACTCTTGACTCTGACCTAGCTGATCACGATTCGTGTTCGTGCTTTGAGAGTCACAAATGAGTGAATTGTGAATGCATGATGGATACGCGCGTGCTGCACGCTGCTGCTGCTGCTGATTGCGCCCGTGCGTCGCGCCACGCGTGTGATTCCGCATGCACGAGCAGCAGCAAGCAGCGCGTGAACCTCTATACCCGGTACAGCATATGCAATTGTTACTCAAGCCGCCCTCGCACACGCATCCTTCTTTTGCTCGCTTCTCGGCGTTAAGCCTGTTCTGGATAGGTGCGAGACAAGACACAGGATCAACAGTCATTCAATGATTGAGCCGTCGGTCTCACAACCTGGCTGCGTCCGCATCTCCCACACATCATCGATCGGTGCAGCTGGAAGATGACACAAAAGGCAGCATTGCGCAACTTAACTT